CCTAGCGCGTACTGGTTCTTGTACTTCACCGACGAGCACAGTGCGCACCTCCCTGCAGGCATGAACTCCTTCTCGATGGCATCCCAATCCATTGGCTCTCCCCGCAATGACTGCAACAGTAATTCGGGCCCCTTTCCGCTCCTTCTGCATGTGCGGCGCGCGGTCGAAAGGCCGAAATATCAGCATGTCCTCCCGACGCCGCACGCGCGTCAGAGCCGCGTAACTCGACAGCGGCGACGTGCTCCCGCCAATCCTCAGGTCTACAATGACACCCTGTTTGAAAGTCTGGCCCTGTGCTGAGTGGGCCGTGACTCCAAACGCGTGGGCCAAGGGGAACTGCCGCCGCTTCGCTTTCAGGCGCGGATAAGGCCGACCCTTGTCCACGAACCAATCTTTCCTCTGCGGGCTTACGGGGTGCAGGCCCGGCGTTCGGAGCCCCGGAATCGTCCACTTGCATGGGGTGATGTGCCCTGCATCGTCGCGACCTTCGTCGAACAAGATAAATATCACCTTTGGCGTCTTCTGCAATGTGGTCTCCCCGCCCCGGCAGACGCGGCCCGCTCCTTCCTCGCCATCGCACGCCCATGAGCGCACGGTCCCCACGCGACCGCGGAGCAGATATTTGTCCTCGATGCGATCTATGTGCTCCGTGAGAGCCACTGGCGTGCCCTCTGCAATCGGCAAAAACCCATGCAGATCCCCGCTCTCCCTGTCGTGGCGCTGCAACCAGGCCATGTTGTGGCGCGGCAAATCTGGTCGCTCCCGTAGCGCGTCCGGCGTGGGCGTGTCGCGCGCAGGAATGTGCACCATCGGCTTCTCGTGCACCCGGGCATGCTGCGACCGGCGCTCGCAGGGTATTGTGGGGGCCTGTCCTCCTCCTTTCCTCCTCTTCCTCCTCCTCCTCCTCCTCCTCCTCTCTTCTCGTCCTCTCTCCCCCCCTCCCACCCTCCCTCCATCCCTCCCTCCCTGAGCTCCAGACCCTGCAACAAGACGCTGCAATACCCTGGGCGAAACGACTCTGGTTCCAGAGGACGCTGATCTCTAGCGATGGTTCTCACTGCATTCGGAAAAGCTTCTTTACAAATTGCCAAAAACTCTGTTGACCACCAGAGCGAGAGAGATAGAGAGAGGAGAAGAGAAGACGAGGAGTGGGGAGGAGGAAAGAGGAGGGAAGGGGAGGGATGATGAGGACCGTCGGACACAGGACGATATGCATAGCGAAAATGCATAGCGAGAAGCAAAAGGAGGAGAAGAGGGGAGGGGACGGCCAAGAAGGGCAACCTCACGCGGAGATTTCGCAGATTTCCGCGCGGGCAACTTCCGCGACGTCGTCGCGGCCTGGGCCGCCGCACTCAAAACCGCACTCCGGATGGATATGCCTGACATCGTCACCACGGGACTACCCGAAGCCACAACTCAGGCTACACGACGCCCCAGAATTGGTGATGCCTTCCACGGCCCAAAAAACAAACGAATAGACTCCAGATGAGTCAGATGAGTTGTCGTGTCCAACGTTGGCATGCTCGAGATGCACGGCCGATGTGGAGGTACCGAAAACACCTGCGCTGCAACCGGAACACACATCGGAACAACAAGACGAATGGAAATGCGGCCACCGCAGCAGCGGGAACCCAGGAGGCCCCAAGAAACCTCCCCGAACCTCCACGAGTCCCCCGAACGCGGCCCCAAGAACCCAACATCACTGACTTCCTATTGTGCTTGACGGATGTGCGCGCACCAAGAACACCGAAGAGCACGAAAGCCTGCCCCAACACGACACCTCCTTGACGTGCTACTGCCGAGCCCCTGCCCCACGCTCAGAACCAGCTGACACGCGCCATCATGACCTCCTTTGGGGTCGGCGGCAGAGGCGGCAGCCTTTAAATAAAACCAGTTGTGAACGCCGCGTTCACACTTAGTTTTGTGACTAACGAAGGAGGGGGAGGAGTAGGAGGGGGGAGGGCTAGATGCGTGAATCATGCAACCAGTTGTGAACGCCGCGTTCACACCTCAGTGTTGTGACTAACGAAGGGGGAGGACGAGGAGGAGGAGGAGGGAGAGGGGCGAGAGAACCACACAATTAAGTGTAAACGCCGCGTTGACAACTAGTCTTCTGACCGACGAATAAGGAGGAGGAAACGGAGGAGGAGGAGGAGGAGGAGGAGGAGGGACGAGAAAAATTGATTACCAAAACTAAGTGTGAACGCCGCGTTGGCAACAGTTTTCTGACCAACGGAAGAGAAGGAGGAGGGGGGTGGTGATGGAGGTGGTGGTGGGGGAGGGAAATCGACTTTGTTTCAGTTTTGTCTTTTTTGTTCCCCCCACACACCACCACCGCCACCGCCACCGCCACCACCACCACCACCACCACCACTTTCTGACCGCCACCACCACCGCCACTTTAATGGGAATTGGCTGCGATGGACTCAAGCACTGCACAGCGCCCAGTGGGGTCCCAAGGCGGAAATCAAACGTCTTTCTTCAGGAGGTGCGAAGCTCCGTTGAGGAAGCCTGGGGGTTTCGAACGTACTCCGATTGGTTTCGTACAGATCCCTCACAACTTCCGAAGAGAGCTAAAGGACAAACATAATGAACTTATGATTTTCGCAAGGGGGATTCGACCCCGGAACCGGTGTGAATGCCGCTAGGGAGAGGAGAAGAAGGGTGGGGACGATTAACAACACAAGGCATACTATTCCTTTACTCAATGGGGGCACGATCCGCGCGAGGAGTGCGCCGAATTGGGCGCGGGGGTCTAATGCGGTCGTGCCCGCTGATACCGAGCGCGGAACTCCCTATGTGGCGTCGGCATGGGCGCGGCGCCGCCACGCGAACCCTGTCACTGGGGCCTTCGGCGGAGCTGCCTTCGGGGCCACGAAGCGTGTGAGGAGTGTGCCGAAGTGGGTGCGGCGCCATGCGAACCCTACCACTGAGGCCTTTGGCGGAGTGCGCCGCCATGCGAACCCTGCCGTTGGGATCTTCGGTTGAGCTCCCCATGGGGCCACGAAACGTGTGAGGAGAGTGCCGAAATTGGTGCAGCCCCCTGCAGGGACACGAAGCGTGTGAATGGTGTGCCAAAAATGATGCGGCGCCGCCGTGCGAACCCTGCCACTGGGGCCTCGGTGGAGCTCCCTTCGGGGCCACGCAACGTGTGATGGGTGTGCCCAAGGGGGCCCGGGGCTGCCATGCGAACCCTGTCACTGGGGCCTTCGGCGGAGCTCTCTTCGGGGGCACGAAGCGTTTGAGGGGTGTGCCGACATGGGACTGCGCCGCCATGCGAACCTTGCCACTGGGGCCTTCGGTGGCGCTCCCTATGCGGCCACGAAAAGTGTGAGGGGTGTGACGCGGAGCACAGAGGCAGGAAAGGGAGCGAGCGAGAGAGCGAGCGAACGAACCCTGAGAAATCCACAATGATCCTTCAACTACCGCGCCACTACGCCGAGCTCGTGCCGTGAACCTATCGTGAACAGGCCTGGATTCTGAGACGGAACCTCGTATCCCAACGCGGCAGAACTATTAGAAATTATCGTGCCTCACCTGCGCTCCCCTTCGGGGCACAGGTGCAGGATGGGAGAGGAAGAGGGGGATGAGAGAGATGTGGGACGCGGGGCGCAACTGATTCAAAACGATGAGCCAACACCACGAAATGGCTGGGGGAAAACGTAGGGTGAACAGAACACCCGGGTTACAGAAATTCGGTTGCGAGGGCGACGCAACCTGGGTGAGCAAAACACCCCCGCACACATACTGTTTTTTGCCACCATGACCCTCGTCGTGTTCTTCTTGCCAAACCTTTCTGCAAGAGCCCAGACCCGCCTCGTCTGAAGGGGCGAGGGCCATCCCGTTCTAGGCACGCCTCAACCTCCGCTCGGGCTCGCTACCGCAGCGCATGCAATAGCCATACTTTCCTGTGAAGTAACAACTGCCCCCCACCTTGCGCGCCGAGCCCGCGTCGAAGATCTTCGACAGGTTCTCGAGGGGGGGGGCTCGGAAACTTTCGGGGCGGCCCCAGACTTCGGGCGGATTGGCTTCCTGCCAGTGCTGCGAACAGTCTGGCGGGCCGGTCTGCCTTCTGCCACCAGGGCAGGGAGCTCGGGCAGCAAACCCCATGCCCCCCCCCCCCCGGGCGCCCACCCTTGACGGGCAAATTTTCCAGTACCATATGTAGGACGGGGGAGAGGGGAGCATGAGGAGGTCCTCCGCCTTCTCCTCCTCCTCCTCCTCCTCCTCCTCCTCCTCCTCCTCCTCCTCCTCCTCCTCCTCTTCCATGTCCTACATCTGGTAATAGTGGTGATGGGCCCATCACCCCCTCCCCTCCCCCCGCGCGCCAGCACGGACGGCGCGTGCTGGCCTCGCGGCGCGGCAGCGCAACCGGCAGAGAGGGATGCACGCGAGGGAATGGCGAAGCCCCTCCCTGGAGGCATGGAGGTGGGCACGGCACCGAAGAGCAACGTGGTGAGTCCACGGCGAAGAGCTGCGTCCACGGCACGGCGACGGCGTGGGCAGACCGGGGAAGACGATCCTGGGTTCTGGTGCTGGCAAGTATCAGTCGGCCACCCGAGGGGCCCGAATATCGGCGGCGAGCGATGAAGGAGACGGCCTTTTCCGAAGGCGGCGGGACTTCCCAAAAACCCACGCTACTTCTGAGACATGTTCTGCGTCTTCGGGGAAGGTTCCGAGAACTTCTCAAAAGGCCGGGGGACTTTCGGGCCTTCTGAACAGGCCCGCCCCTTATCACTTCCCTTCCTCGCTACATTACCACCATTGTCCAAATTAGGGCCATCGTCCCTAGGCGGAGGCACAATGCCGATGCTGGTGCTGATTCCAAACCCCAAATTTCCGACCGCACGCCCTCCGCTCTGGCCAGCATCTCGAAGCGGATCCAATCGTGGCCACGAAAACGCCCAGGTCCTCGATCCGTGTGATTGCTCCCCGTCCTTCTCCTCCTCCCCCTCTTCCTGGGGGAGGAGAGGCAAGTTGCCCCGCGGCTTGGTAAAGGCCTTGCCCCCGAGGGTGCCATCCAGCAGCGTGGAATCCCCCACGGCGACGGTGAGTCCGGTGGGCTTGAAGTTGACCTCGGCCAGAAACGTGCGTTTTGCTACGGTGAATGAGAAAATCCGCAGGTGAACGGCCGCCACGTCTACTGCCGAATGGACCGAACCCGCTGATAGATGAATCGATGCTGCTGGGTGTTCATTGCTGACGCCTCTCGCTCCTCCCACGGGTAAACGAACAAAACATCGCATGTTATGTTTATTCAACCCGCTGCTGTTTTTGAATCCCTCCCCCTCCAGTCTACCTGCGAAGATACCCCGCACATTCTGCCCGACTTCGCCTGCACTGGGCCCTTCCCTTCAAAAAAGCGAAAGGCAGAAGCAAGAGGGGAGGATGATTGCGAGGAGGGTGTGAGGAGAAGGCTGAGCAGGACCAGGCATATAAATAGAAAGAGGAAAGGTGGGGTGATGATGAGGAAAACAAGGCTTATGTGTTAACCAGCGATGACCCCAAACAGTAATCTCACTGGTGCAATTTAATTGGTACATTCCACATGGTGCAAGTCTTTGAAAGGGGAAGTCAGTCACAGCCGTGTGACAGAAATACATGATAAACATGGCGCGTTTAGCGCGCCAAACAAAATGAACGCATAGCTTGCTTCAATTGAACTGGAGGTGTGCAGACTTTGTCGATTGAAACTTCAAGGCTGGCACATGCATTTTTTGGAGAGTTGCGAACTCGGCGGACCACGTGGGTCGTGGCCTGCCTCTCGTCCGCTTGTCGGAGGGGTGCGAAGGTCGAGAGGGGGAAGGCTTGTAAATGGCTGCGAAAGTACGCTGTGAACTTCATCTGGCGCGCGTGTGCGCGCGGTCTCATTCGACAAGCGGCTGACGTATGAGTGCGGGGCACCATAGATTTTCCGCTGGCACCTTGCTTGGGAGGCGTCGATGCGCGCCAACTCGTTCCGATTGAACAACTAAGAGTGCAGGCTGTGCAAAGCTTGAGTCTGCGCGCGCGCTCCATTCGCGCGTGCTTTTCTGTGCGCGGGGATGCTGCCGCGGCTCGAAACATGGTGCAACAGCTCGAATTCTGCTCGCGCCTGCCCTAAGCGCCGGCCCACTTCAGCTTGTATCGTCCCATCTGAGGAGAGCGCGGAGCCGAAGTAAATCATGCTTGCTTTATGGGAGGCGGCGTCTCCGTCCAGCCTGCGCGCGACAGCGTCGCGCCCCGCGGGCAATATTTCCACTTCCCCCCGACTGAAATTGCGGCCGTACTTGGCACCCGCCCCCTCCACGGCCTTCACGTGCTGCTCCGCGTGCCCGGGCGCGCTCGCGACGACGAGCGCGTCGTTCGCGTGCGCCAGTTCGTCTGCCAGCCCAGATCCCTGGGCTGTCCGCGGCGTCGCGCATGAGCACCAACGTGGCCATCGCAAAAAGGAAAGGTGATAACGGGCGTCCCTGGCACGTTCCTGCTCTTGGCTCTTGCGATGTGGAGGTGCACCCAGAGTCCTCCGCCGCGAATCTCCCGTCAAAACAGATGGCGCGTGCGCGCCTCCGGCGGCGTCGCGCTGCCAGACGCCCTGGCCCCGTCCAGCGCGATCGAGATCAGCGGGGGGTCATGCGACGCCCAGGGCAACTCCCAGAATTGCCGCGCTGAGAAAATTGCGTCGGCCGCGCCGTGCTTGAACTTGAAGCCGAAGTGCGTCCGCCAGATCTTGTCCTGCGCTCTGGCGGCCTTCGACCGGTGCAGGATAATCGTGGCGCGTGCCTTGCATTCAGCTTGCAGATCGGCCAGTGGGTAGCAGAAGGCAAAAAACCCACCCCATAAGAACCACCCCGCCGAAGGAATCGAAGAGGGCAGGGCTGTTTAGTAAACGCCCAAAGCCGTTAAAAAAAAAACTGCCAGGTCCGGGTGGTTTCCCTCCCTTTGAATTATAGAACTCTGCCTTGAATCCAGCATGCAGAGGACGAGTCGGCCTGTCGTTAGAACGCTGTGAAGCGCTGGGCGCGCCCGTTTCTCCAGCGCGCCCGGCACAGCGCAAGCGCCCATTTTCCCCCTCCAGCGACAATTCGCGAGAGTCCAGGCCCCCCGCAACAAAATTCGCGAGAATTTGAGCCTCCCGCGAGCAAAAATGCGAGTCCAGGCCTCCCGCAGAGAAATCGCCAGAGTCTCGTGCATGCAAATTGCTTGCCGAAGCTCCCCAGGGGCGCCGTCCTCGCCGCAAGCCAAGCCCCAGCGCGTGCGCCGCGCCGCTTCGACGATCTCCTCCGCGGAGATGTCGCCCGCCTGGACTTCCAGCTCCTGGCCAATCGGATCGGCTTCCATCGGCGTCGTTGCACGGGGAGCCCATTGAGCTTCGCGCCGGTCGTCGGCCATAGCGTCAGATCTCTGGTCCGACTGTGCCACTGCGCCGTCCATGCCGCGAAGGCGCGAATCCTCTCTGAGCTTGCGGACTTGGCTCCCCTCGCCCGTTTCCAGCAAACTATTGAACCATGCCGACCTGTCTTCCTTGACCGCCTTCCTCACCTCGACACGCGGGCGGTGCTCTTCATCTAAGTGCCCAAAGCGGCGGGCGTCGGTTCTCTGCTCGATTTGCGCAAAGGTGTGTTGGGAGATCCAGGGCTACCTTGGCGAGTTCATGGTCTCCGGGATAGTCGCTGCAGCGGCAGCGCGAAAAACTGGCCGCATAATTGCCTCCAACTTGTTCGCCGTCAGGCCCTCGGTCGACGTTCCTGCTGCCTCGCCGAAGGCCTCCGCGAAAGCGGCCGCTCTTGGTGGGCTCTAGAGCGTCTGCAAATCCAATCGCGGATCGCTCGGCGCCGGTTGCTGCGCGCATCTTTGAGGCGATGGGGCCAGCCCCGCGACATGAGAGAGAGAGAGAGAGAGACAAGGATTTGTTTGAAATTCTCTGGTGTCGGGTGGTCTCAAGGCTTCTTTTGGAGGGCGAAAGAGGGGGTCTGCAACAGGAGGTCTTCAATGGGGGCTGAATGGCCCATGTATGCTCAATGTATCGTTCATGTATGTGATCGGGTACGATTGGCATCCAATGCTGGCTGTCATTGATGGCCAGTCATTCGTGCCCGCGCGTTGCCCGCGCGGGCACACGCGCCGTCCATCCATTATCGTTCATGCGTGCGGGCGTTCTTGCATATTGCGTGTGGGTCGGCGAAGTGGAGTGCAAGTGTGTCTTGATTGTGCGGTTGGTGATCGCGTATGTTCCCAAACGATGACTTCTCGACCCCCAAGACAGATTTGGAATGGGCCCCGCGATTCTCCCAAAATGTGAATTCACATTTTCCTTTTTCCCAAGAAGTGTGAATTCACATTCTGGCCCCTTCATAAAGAATCCTACACAAAATTCCAAAATGTGAATTCACATTTTCCTTTTTCCCAAAATGTGAATTCACTTTTTCCTTTTTCCCAAAATGTGAATTCACATTTTGCTTTTCCCCACGATGTGAATTCACATGTTGCCCTGGCCTTCAAGATCCCCCAAACTGAGGCGCAGTGTTCCGCATGTCAGATTGGCTGGGCAGATTTCGACAATCACCTGACCGCTTTCGTGTGTTCCAGCCTTTTCGTTTTGCGCCCTTAGCGCGCGTTGCCTTCGTCGCTTTTCCCGAGCCCCCCGCCGTCTTAGTTCCTTCCCCCTCAAGTCTCGCGCGCGGGTGCAGGCGGGGGGCTTCAATTAGTTCCCCCGCCGAACACAGCAATCGAATCTGTATCGCCCATTCATGGCTTTAAAAAACATCATTGCCGGGACCCTGCGCCCGACCCCCACTTTCACCCTCCAATTCTTGCCCACGTTGTAGCATGTAATATGCTTGTCCGGCGGCTTGAAAAGCGTGTTTCCAATGAGCAGCTTCTGGTTCACGCAGAGCTCGGCGAGGAATCCTCGATTGGACGAAGCGTTGTACATCGTATCTGGGGCTCCGAAAACGTGTGGCCCGATGGTGCGCTCTTCTCCAGGTTCCCGGCGGTGGAGCCGCGCGTATAAATCACCTGGGACCAGGGCGGGGCCGTGCCGGGAGCCTACGTCAATGAAAACGCCGAGGTTTGAAAAATGTTGCCGCCTGCTTTCGAAACTCTTGCCACTATGGGGAACGTGTGCGGTGTAGATCATGATCTTGCCGACTTTCACGTGCAACTTCAAAGACGCCATCTGGGAGTCCTGCTGCCTGGACCCCACGACGGACAGGCGGATGCGCGGCGCCACAACGAAACCGACCCCCGCTGTCTCGTTGTCACTTGGGTCCGAAGCGCCAGAGAGGACGATCAGAAATCCAGCATCAGAGACGGAGAACTCCGCCCCCGTCTTGTGGGTCTCGTGGAGGAACAGCACATCGATGTGCATGGATGTCAGTCATATGCCACTCGAGTTCTGCTTGCTTTGCTCCTGTGAGACCCTCAACGTTCCATGTTGCTACTCGGGGATGCCACGTGCACGGTCGCAGGGCGCCACCTCGGAAGTGCAATGCCTCGGTAGCCAGGGGTGCAGGAGAAGTGCTGGCAGCAGTGGTGCCGACTGCTGGTGAGCATGCTCGGCGAGAGTCAGACGAATGAAGCCGATCATAGTTAGTGGGAAAATCAAAAGGTACCGATACCGCTACTCCCCAGACATTTCCCGGGGTGCGTTCTGACCAGAATTTCGAGGCGAATCCAGCGGTGTTGACGAAGACCTCCCAGGAGGCGGAGGGGAAAACCGCCGAAGGGTAGAGGTACGGGTACCTTTTCTTCCTCTGAATTAGTAGCTGCACTAGGGCCGCCTGCGGAAGGAAGTGAAACCGTGTGCCGCCTTTCCTGAAGGGAACCACTACCCTTAGGTCGGGCATGTCCTCCTACAGGGAGATTGTGAATGAAACGTATAACACCCCCCCGACATATTTAAAACACGACATGCTCAAATTGCTAACAAATAATCCGCATACTATTAGCTGACTACTTCTGACTATTCCTCCTGTTGAGGGACAGGCCCGACTTAGCGCTACCCCTTAGAGCAGCCCCTCGTGCCTCCCTTGAGCCCCTGCGTGGCCCGAGATGAGCAGATCGTCCGACTTTGCCCTCAAGTCTTTGCTCAAGGCGTGGCTGTGGAGAAGCAAGTAGCCCACTTCCCCTCCTCCCCCTCCTCCTCCTCCTCCTCCTCCTCCTCCTCCTCCTCCCCCTCCTCCCCCTCCTCCCCCTCACGCTCCTCCTCCTCCTCCTCCTCCCCGTCCTCCCCCTCCTCCTCCTCCTCCTCCTCCTCCTCCCTCCTCCTCCTCCTCCTCCTCCTCTTCCTTTTCTTCCTCCTCCTCTTCCTTTTCTTCCCTCTTTTCTTCCTCCGTTTCTTCCTCCTCCTCCTCCTCCTCCTCCTCCTCCTCCTCCTCCTCCCCCCGTTACTTGTAATCCACGGTGGTGCCGGTTACGGTCACAGTCAGTGCAATGCAATGCAAAGCAATGCAAGGCAAATCAATGTAATGCAATGCGCAGCCATGCAAACTACTGCGAAGTCACGCAACACAGAGCAAAGCAAAGCAATGCAAACCAATGCGATGCAAACAACATCGTGACCATCATGGTGTGGCGACGGACGGCGGCGACGGACGGCCACAAGCTGGCCAGACCGGCGCACAATGCCAATGGCGAGCCTCGCGCAGTAGACATCCATGACCAGAATGGTGCAGCGACGGGCGGCGATGGCCGGCCAAAAGCCAGCCGAACCGACGCACAGACCCAGATCCGTATGAGAGAACAAAAAGAACCCCTAAGTGCAAGCACTGTTTTGGACAACAACTGCAAGGGAGGAAACTAGGATCGCAAAGAAGACGAGGAGGGCGAGGAAGCCACTGGGGGAAATCGCTCGGGGCGGAGCCTTTGGCAACCCCAATCTGTTTCCATTCCGCAATTGCTGACACCGGGCTCCAATCGCTTTACTGCGATTATTTATGGTGCACTGGCAGATTTCCAGCGCATCCTTCTCTCAATCTCTTCTTCCTCGTCCCTTCTTCTTTCTTCACTTTTTTCCTCCACCCTCCTGTGATCCCCTCCTCCTCTTTTTTCTTCTCCTTCTCCTCCTCCTCCACCTTCTCCTTCTCTATCCCTGGGTCGTGGCCAACCGTAACTAAAGTATGCCCAACCTAAGTCGGCTTAGCTCTTGGGCATCCTGCCCACGCCTGGGTGACACACGCTCGGCTGAGTTGCCATTGTTTGTTTTTGTGTGTGTGGAGGGGCAAACACGATGCATTACAAACTGTTTGAGATGTTCGTGGGGCCTACTTTTCAAACCCGTGTTGGCCGAGCTTTGAACGAATTCGATAATCTTTGAGAAACAAATTCCCTGGCTTGTGGGCTGTTCAATGCACACGCGCCGACATATACTGCACCGCACCTTTTTGCAAGACTGTTCAACGCCGGCACGAGGTCAGAGGTACCAACATTGGCACCGCATCCATGATTCATCATGCTCCATGTAATTAACGCTTTTTCTTGACGGCTGTATTTCCTCCCAGTGCTCCTCCGTCTCCACCTCCTTCTCCTACTCCTCATGCTCCTCCTCCACCTTTTTTTTTTCCTCCTCCTCCTCCTTCGCCTCCCTCCTCCTCATCCTCCAACTGATCCGCCTCTTCCTCATCCTCTTCCTACTTCCTCCTCCCCTCTTTCCTTTCTTCCGCCCCTCATCCACCTCACATCTCATCCTCGCCCATCCGCATCCTCCTTCTAATACCAGTCCCTTCTATCCTTCTGGTGCCCCTGACTCCTTCTCGTCGGGCGCGTCCCCGACCTTCACATCCTTCTTCGTGGCTGGCTTGTCCAGCCTGAAAGTTATCTGCACCTCCGCCCCGCTTGTCGTGTGCCAGGAGGCGACAACATGCGCAGGAAGGGGGACGGAGATGAACTTAAGCAGGATGCGAACGATGAGGGCACGTGGCCACCAGAGGTAACGTGGTACGGTGCATGACGCAATGGTGCAGGGGTGAGGTGGGGGGAAACATTCCGCCTGCAAATCGCGAGGGTGCGAAAGGCGACAACCCTTTCTCGAACGGGCATTGTACAACCACACCGAGCGGGCAAGACCGAACTCAACGCCGACTAGTTCGGAAGATGCCAGTACGCTACACTCATCCCTCACTGCACCCTCGGGGTGTGGCATATGCAAGATTGGCTCGCTGTGCAATCTTGTTTTCTGCGAATTAGTACAGCGTGGTGCAGGCTGCAGTGGGAGGATTTAGGGATGCAAGGCTTGGCTGGGGACGGAGGGGACGCAGAAGTCTCCATCTCCTTTCCCTCCTCCTTCCCTCCGTGCCTGCCTTCTCGTGTGACCCCTGTAGGCGTACCGGCATTCCCTCCCCCCCCCATGTGTGGGGTCCGCGCAACAAGGGGTACGTCTTGGTATGATCCTCTTCGGGGACCTCCTGGGGGGAGTGCCTAATTTAGCACGGCCCGTCCTTTGATCGATCTCCCCCAGGATGGTCCGAAGATGGCCCCCGAGGCTCCCAAGATGCCCTTGTGAGGCCCCCCCAGAGGCCGTCTGGGCATCGTTTCTGGATGGGCTGGTGGGGTTCCACGAAGCGTCTAGAATCTTACTGCTGGGCTGCCGCCTTGCTGATGTCTCTCGTCTTCTCCCTCTGATGTCCCGCCTCCTGTCTCTCCGACCCTGTCTACTTTCTGCTGTGCTGGTGGCCCTCATCATAAAAACAAGCCGCCCGATGTAGTGATGCCTGCCCTTTGGTCGGCTCACCCTGCCCCAAGATTTCCAGGTGGACGCCGCAAGGCAGCGAAGGGAGTCAAAGAAGCCTCCAAGATGGGTCCAAGAAAATCTACGAGTCTCAAGCGGCCCGAGTCGACCCCTACCCACAGGTCGCCAATGCGCTCCCGAGATGACAAGCAAACATTGAACGCCATGCTGTTGTCTATGCTGTTTGCTTGTCGCTTGTTCTGCCCCTGAGATTTCGCAGGATGGCTTCATGACAACTTCCGTGCGCGCATTTAGAGCTCACCAGTGCAGCCCCCGTCCTCCGCTCTCCTCCCTTCCAATGGCCAGGGACCAATCGGCCATGGTCGATGGCGCGTCGGTAGACGGGCGCCTTCTCCACCACGTTGGTATGGTTGGAACGGCGCTCCCAATCGCCTTGGCCCATCACGGTCGGCAGTCAAGCCGTCGACCTTGGGAACATGGAGTGCTGGCTTTTGCACCGCATGGTCAAGGAGCCGACCATGGACCAGCTCCACCAGAGCTGGATCGCCAAGTGTTACTGCACCGACCTTGCAGACGTGCTGCGGCGGATTTCTGCCAATGCAAACCCCGACACGGCGAGTGAAAAACGAAGTTAATTTCGCGTGGATTTTGTTTAGTCCTCGTTCCTGGCCGAAAAAACATCCGCACGAAATTCACCTCCAAATCCCGAGCGAACTTCTCCAGGACACTCCGGGCCCATCCTATCGTTTTCCGATCGAAATCCGTTCTGCGATGTTGGCGCCATGACACGCGGGGCGAGAAGATGGGGATCAGGCCGCGGATACTCGCAGACCCGTCCAAACTCTCAACTGCCGCCCGGCGAGGCGCGGCTGCTCACAGGAGCACCGCGCGCGGGCGAGGACACTGCTCGTCACAAGCGCGCCTGTGGGCAAGAGAGGGTGGACCCTGATGCCTTGCATCGGGTACAGTCATCGGCCTGACCTAAGGAACGATAAAAAGGAACGAAGCCCCATTGTTTCCAAGTAAGTCTACGAAGTCCGAAGGAACGGCCGAGCCCCTTTCTAGCGCCAAAGAGGTAGCTGAACGCATACAAACCTAAGGAACGACCGAGCCCCTTTGGAAAAATAAGTGTTTCTTACTCAAGGCGCTCACTGTATGTCAGCTAGAGGAGGGCACCGACCGGCATCGCACGTTCTGCCACCATGTGCGGCAAGAGGCACGCTCGCGCGCTGACGGCTGCCAGCATGTCCAGCGCGATGCGAGCTCATGGGGCATGAGGGAGTTGTGGGGTAGGGGCTCGTGCGAAGACCCCGTGATTGAGCTCGGCCTGTACGACACCCAGACTTCCCACGTCGTCTACGTGGAGAGGGGTCACCCCGGCTGCATCACGAGCGTCTGTGGGGGGGGATCCTACCCCGCGGTGAGACAAACGGGATGGAGCATCGTGCAGCTCGACGGCGATGAGCACTTGAGCTTCAGGCAATTCGGGACGCTGTTTCTCGCCCAGGCCGAACAGCGCATCTACTTGGCCGAGCCTTTTCGATTGCGGAGCCTCTGCAGACTGCCGCATCCCCGATCAAAGTGTGGACGGACTGTCAGGCAATCCTGAGCGGTTTCGAGCGCGGCCACGAGGCCACCGTGCGCCCGGACGACCGCTACGCCTCTCTACGGCTCTGACTTTTGGCACCTCGTGCACGGGCCTGGCGGTACAGGTCATAGACCTGTGCAGGCTGAGAAGGTGAAGACCCATAGCGCCAAGGAGGAGCTGGCGCGCATGGGGACACACCGACCGCATCGCCAAGCAGGGGGCCGTGCTGCATCGGAATGCGACGTATACAGATCGCTATCACTTGGCGCAGGGTGACGCGGAGTTTTGCTGCTCGCGCGGCAGTGCAGAGCAGACAGGTGGTGGGCACCAGCGACTCGGTTGCTGTAGTGGGTGGGATTTGGAATCGCCAGCCCTCGTCTCCAGAACTTCCAGCAACTGGGACGGAGTCCCCTGCTGCTCGAGTGGAGGCTTTGACAATCCCTGTTGTCCCTGACGACGCAAGGGAAGCACACCGAGATGCTAGGCTAAAACAAGCGAGATCCGTGGGCCATCCGAAAGCCCAGAGACCGGGAGCTGCTTTCTGTATGCGCTGCGCTCGCTATGCCAAAAACGAATGGCTCCACCTTCTGAAACCGCGCTGTCGAGGGCCAAGTGACAGGACAGCGTCCAGTAGGCTGCGCCAATTGTGGGACGGTTTGCATCCTACAAAACGGGCAACCCCTTGTCCTCTTCAGCCAGGGCCGCTGTCGGTGCCACCGCGCCAGCAATAGCCAGACAAGCCACACTATCCTCTTCAATCTCTCGCGAGGAGGAGGTGGAGGATGCGGAGGAGGTGGAGGATGTGGAGGCGGAGAAGGAGGAGGATGCGGAGGATGCGGAGAATACGGAGGAGGAGGAGCAAGAGCAGGAGCAGGAGCAGGAGGAGGAGGAGGAGGAGGAGGAGGAGGAGGAGGAGGAGGAGGAGCAGGAGGGGGAGGGCAAGGGGTGAGGAGACGATGACGACGACGCTGGCGACGGCCACGACGCCGCGCTCGAGGCAGAACGCGCCGGGAGGGCGCCTCCTCCCCCTGCTGGCTCCACGTATACCCGTCCTGGCGCTGGGCGAGGGGGTGGCCGGAGTGCAGAGCACCACGGCAGACCAGCACGGCACACGAGCGGGGCAAACCGGCCTCAGAAGCCAGGCGAAGGGTGGCAAACCCGTGGCTGCTAAAACGGAGCTCCAGGAAATTGCTTTTTCTTCCAAAGAACAACCCGTTTATTATTTAGCGCGCTGAACTTTATTCCTGGAATTTGTTAGTTTCTTCCGGGAAGACCGTTTGAGCAGCCACGGATTTGCCAGCCCTCGCCCAGACTCCAACCAACGCCCAAACTCTACGCGTTCCAGGCGTCCACCCCGCGAAGCCAGAAGGAATCGGGTCAAAATCAGTCCCATCCTGGCCAGCTGTCCAAGCTGCGTCCAGCCGTGGCGACGACGATCCTGCAGAGACGCCCACGAACCACGCCGAACGCGCCACCCGCGTGGGGCGATACTTTTGGGCCTCGTTTGCACCAGCAGAGGAAGCCGAGGGCGATGGCCAGGATGGGCCTGGGCGTCGCGGCTTGGCCCTCGAGCCCAAATCTCCCAGCTCCGTTTAGGTCGGGCATGTCCTCCTACAGGCGGATTCTGGAGGAAAGATAAACAATAGTTAAGACACGTCCAAAGATAACCAAAACAATGGTAGAACACCCGTCCCCAGACTATTTGTTGATTATTTTCGAATCGTCCTCCTGTAGAGGGACACGCCCGACTTAACTCAAGCCCAAATCTCCCAACTCCGTGGAAACAAACATACGACGGAAACATCTTACGGACTCCTTCCGAGATGGAGCGCAGATGGACGTACTAATACTGCGCGCCCTCCCTGGAGGCGCACGCCCGAAGCGGAGACGTAGTACACACGTCTCAGAGTGTGCTTCCCGCGTGTTCTGGCCAAAGACTGCCCGCCACGGAGCTTCCACGGTACGATTTCTGAACATGCGCGTCGCCCTTGCGGGGCCTACGCGCACACGGTGCAAAGATGCTTAGGTGGTGCCGGCGAAACGCCTTCGCACCGCGACAATCTACACCCTGCCGGCAGAATGCCTAAACTGTGCACTGTATGCGTAAGGGAATGCGGGAAAACTCGAAGCTCCGATTGTGGACTCGCAGGGCCTCACACCAGGCCTTGCAAAAGAACTGTTCAGGCAGTAGGTGCACTGACGCACCGGGCAATGACCCCAGGGTTCTCTTCGCCATCCAAGGCCATAGGTGCAGTGACGCACCGGGCAATGACCTCAGGGCTCTCTTGGCCATCCAAGGCCATTAAACCAGCAACACCCCCGAAGGATTGGCGATGGGGTTCACAAGGAAATGTGGTAGCCCGAAACAAAATATCATAGCTATGAACCACGGCCCCACCACTGTTGCTTCAGGGCCTCGCCCAAGTGGTAGTGGAGACACCGAATCAAATGACTATCTCATTTTTGTTCAACAGAGTAGCGGAAGCCCCAACACGCGTGCGGGCCGTGCAAGGCGAAGCTCGCCGCGGTGAGCGTGACGCGCTCGTGCGCGGTGGGGAAAGAAGTGCGCTCGTGACTGGGGGCCGCCGACCCCGCAGGAAGACGACGCGTAGTCAAGCATTCCCGTTCTAAGGGCCTCCGAAGCTGGTCACTGCGTGGGGGCCGGCTCATGGGAAAATCACCGCGCCGTTCTGGAACCGGGGGTCACCGCACTGTTCTGGAACTTCCACGGCCACTAGCGCTCGACACCTCCCCGAATCAAACCGACCCTTCACTGCGAGTCGGCGGCTTGGGCGGGCGCGGTATCATAACAACGTCGACAACAATACACGCGATGATGGGTGGTAGCGATGCTGGTGACGATGGTCACGACGACGGCGGCAAGGCCACTGACGGCGCCGAAGCTGATCACGCTGATGGCGATGACGGCGCCATCGCGTCGGTGATGACAGTTTTGGAGGGAGTTCGATATGGGCGCGCGGCCGACGCGCGGGTGGCCCGCATGGTATTATTCGAAACGTATCGTGCCCCCCTACAAGCGCGCAAAGGGAATTCGAATGATTTCGACGTGCGGCGCGGGAACCCGTCTGGCAGAATTTAATGAAACAGTTGAAACTACTTATGGTTTCGCTGAAGGGCGCGAGCGCAAGCATTTTTGCAAACATCTGTTGCACTAGATGTTTTCGGGACCGTCGATTGTGACATCTATACGCAGCCCAATTTTTGACGCATTTCGGCATGCGCGCGCGACGACATGCGCGCCTGCAAGTCGTCCCGCTTTTTGCACAAAAGGTTCTTGCGACAACACGCGCGCAAGGGCTTTCGAGCGAGTCCGCCACGCGCGCGCGAGATGCCCCGTTGGTAGCACGTTATGGGCATATTATGATTTTCACCAGAAGTCGCAAGAATACAGGGACACGTTTTCTTGTTTGTAACAAATGGTTCAGGTTAACAAACTATGCTTTTTGTTTTTGATGTACGAAACATGAACAACTTTTCGGGACACTCGATTCTGAAATCTTTGCGCAACCCAAGGTTTTTGACAGATTTCGGCATGCGCGCGACGACGCGCGCGTGTGCACTTCGTCCGTTTTTTTTTGCAGGGGGCCCTTGAAAACTGATGATCTTTGATCCACGAATGTGCGCACGGGGGACCCGTTACCGGTTCGGTTGGGATGATCTGAGTTCATATTTCGGATGGGCTATTGGGCAGAATCGCATGTACATTACAATCCGAAGTGGTGACCTTTTAAGTCCTGGGGGGGGTCGATCTTAATGCTCTTTCAGAACAGAGAATTCACATTGCCGAGCTAGAACAGAGAATTCACTCTGCCGAACTTGAAGTTGTCACCAACTCCACCCACCCATCCACCCGCAACTTGATTTGCAACGCCCGTGCTGCGGCGATTCCCATGACTGCTCGGCGCTGGCTGGCGCATCGCTGCGGCCGCGCTAACGTTCGCAGGCTCGCGCGCAGAGCGGCCAGCTAGTCTGGTGCAACCGACGCGGCCGCGGTGGAGCTGACCGCTGGGCAGTCCCCAGCGCGTCTCGCAGGCCGCGCAAGCGCACGGGCACTTCAATCCGAGTCGGTGATTCGGGCGGGCGCTGTACCGTGGCGACGTCGACAACGGCAGACACGATGATACTAGTAACGATGCTGGTGGCGACGGTGGCGGCGCCGAAACTCTTCACGCTGATGACGAGGATGGTGTTAGTCGTACGGCCCATTTTTTCCTCTCGCAAGCTTTCGCGAGAACGCGCGCGAAGTTCCGTTGTTGAAACACACGTTGGACCACATTGTGTGTGTGTCTGTCTGGAACTATGTTTTCGGAACGCTCGATTTTGAAACACTCAAGCACTATACTTGTTTCTAATTCCAGTGGCTTCGGCTTCCGGTGTGCAAGGACTCCTTGGAACCTTAGGATTTGTGATAAACGACTGTATGCGCGCAATGTTGTTTTGCAGAGGATGGTGGGTGGAGGTCGGGCGCTGCTTGGCTGGGATGGTAAGGGTCTACTTCGAATAAAAGGTGGGGCAGGATCGTATGTAAACTGGATGTCCCCAGGGTGTACCGATAATTTCAGGGGTGGGTGGGTTGTATATCGTAGGTCCTTTGTGGAACGAGTCTGTGTATGTAAATATTTCTGTGGGCATACATATATGTATGTATATATGTATATATGTTTATATATCTACATATTTGTACACATATATGTATATATATATATATATATATATAGATACATCCACCCACATAATGGCTTTCGGCCCATCCCGCCATCGTGCCTGGTTGTGGGTATGAAAACTAGTAAATGCTCATTGGGATCTCGTGGGGGGCATTCCGGGGACCTCTTGGAGGCAGTTTTGAAGCCTCGTGGGGGATACTCTGGAATCTCTTGGGGCCCCTCTTGGGACTGTTGGGGGCCTCTTGGGACCTCTTGGGGGCGGCGGAAGGCTAGGATTTGTGGTTTGTCCTCCCTCTCTAGGGTCCCTTTTGGGGCCTCTTCTTGGGCCGTCTTGGGCGCCTCTTGGGCCATCTTGGGGCGCTCTTGGGGGCCCCTTGGAAGCCTCTTGGGCCATCTTGGGGCGGTCTTGGGGGCCTCTTGGGCTGAGTTGACATGTCGGCAAGCCAAAAAAGCGAGAACGCGAAAATCCTTCGAACATCTGAGGTGCATTTTTTTGGCCTCTTGGGAGGCCTCTTTGGGCGTCTAGGAGGCTCCTTGGGCAATCTTGAGGCAATCTTGGGCGTCTTGGGACGATCTTTCGGCGACTCAAGGCCCTCTTGGACCGTCGTGGGGGCCTCTTCGGGTCCGCTTGGCCTGTCTTGGGGTCCTCTTGGGTCCGAAAAGTTACGCGGGAAGCGGCACCAAGCCCCAAGATATTCAGCCAATTGGGGTCCAGGTTCCTTACATCATTCCTGGGAGTGAAGAGTGAGGCTCAGAGGAGGAGGAGGAGGAGGAGGAGGAGGAGGAGGAGGAGGGACATTTCCTCAAGTCCTTTCACTAATCCTCTAAGCCTCAGATCTCACTCCAGAGGAGTCTTCAAGGGGCCTGGACCTCGAATTGCCAAATCTCTCGGGGCTTGGCGCCGCCCCAGGATGCCCAAGATGATTTCACGACGGCCCAAGCGGCCTCCAAGACGCACCCAGAGGCCTCCTAAGAGGGCCCCATGAAGCAACAATCATTGATTCCCTGAGGTTTTCGAAGGTTTTCGGCCTTCTCGCCTTTCTGCTTCCCGACGTTCCAAGGCCTCCCAAGAGGCCCCCAAGATCACTCCAAGGCGGCCCTAGAGGCCCCAAATATCGCTCGAAGACGGCCCCAGAAGCCCACAAGAGGGCCCCAAGACGGCCCAAGAGGCGCCCAAGATAGTCCAAGAGGGCCCAACACCTTCAAGAGGGGTTCTGGATGGGGAGCCCGAGCGGACATTTCGAGCCCCCGGCCCCGAGGACCCCCCTGAAGGAGGCCCCAAGAGCCCCCAACCTGCCCCCAAGAGGCTCCGAGAGCGCTCCGACGAGACCCCAGGAAGCATCCCTGAGAACTCTAATCTACAACCC